TATTTGGCTATTTGCCAGTCCGGCCTGTGGGACCAGGCCGTGGCCTGACCCCACAGGCCGTGCGGTTATTCAGTCCAGTCCAGTCCTGCCCGGTACCACAGTCGATACCTGGCCAGTCCAGTCCAGTCCAGTCAGTCCGCTGGGGGTATACCCCAGCTGCAGTCTGTTTTGTGGCATTCATCATTTGCACAGATTCGAGTACGTGCGTGTTGAGTCTGCGTTGGAGCTGCGCTGTCCCTTCCAGCTCCATCTCCATCTCCCCCATCCTCATCCCTTCGTCTTGATCCTGACGGACTGACATCCCGGCGGGTTCGTCACAGGTGGACTTAGCCAACTTCTGAGACGACATTTTCCTGGACATGTACTCGACTGGCCTCAACTTTTTCCCCTCCTGTTGTGCAAGTACGGCGCCTATGCCATATTGTCTAGCATCCGTAGTCACTATAAATGGCTTATCACGATCAGGAAGTTTCAGGACTTCGTAATGCGTCAACGCATGCTTCAGATGTCTGAAAGCAGCCTCACATCTCTCAGTCCACTCCCATGGGGTGTCAAGGCGGGTCAGATCAGTCAAAGGGGCGACAACTATGTTATAGTTCTTACGAAATTGTGATAGCAGCCGGTCAGCCCTAAGAAAGATCTCATCTCAATCAGAGACTGTGGACGCGGCCAGTCACGAATGCTGGCCACCTTCGCGTCATTGGGCTTCAACCCTTCCGCGGAAATCTCATGACCCAAGTACAAGACACAAGTGCGGCCAAACTCGCACTTCTCACCGTTGATCTTGAATTTGTGATGTCATAGGAGACTGAGGACTTTGTCCAAGTGCGCAACGTGCTCCTCGACAGTCTTACTAAAAATACGCCATCGAGGTACACAATGACAAACTTACCTAAGTAGTCATGGAACATCCGATTCATAGCGTGCTGAAAGGTGCCAAGAGCATTGCAAAGGCCGAAAGGCATCACCACAAACTCGTACAGACCGTACCTGGTCTGAAATGCGGTTTTGTGTTGATCCTCAGGCCGGATTGCAATCTGATGGTACCCGGACTTCAGATCTATTTTACCGAAGTACCGACACCCTTGCACTCTATCTAGCAAATCGTCGATGCGCGGTAGGGGCTCTCTGTTTCTAGATAGTGATGGCATTCGCGCCCCTATAGTCAATGCACATGCTAAGTGTTCCCTCCTCCTTCTTAGGTACAAATAGTACTAGAAACCCAGAAGGAGAAACACTCGGTCGGATCCAACCCTTCTCTACGAGTTCCTTGAGTCGTCGGCGAAGCTCATCGAGCTCGCTTGGAGACATCCGATAGATCCTACCCTTCGGGATGCTAGACCCTGGGATAATCTCTATCATGTGGACTACCTCTCTCTCTACAAACCCTGTCGGTTCTTCAAATAGTTGAGGGTACTTGGCAACTACTCCCTCTATCTCCGACCCCATTTTCACCGGCTCGCCTGAAGCAGAGACATAAACTAGATTCATACCCTCCTCCTGATATTGCTTATAATAATTAGAGAACGCGGCCGCACACATGCACCCCTGGGACTAAATCAGACTACTAGCTTTAAACTTACGTAATTTTCGGTCCCAGTCAAACTGGGGTTGTGCCACAGAGAGGTAGTACATACCTAACAACATATCCATGGGGAGTTCGTCACTCACTGGGAACGAGACGCGAAGTCTCAATTCCCCTCCCGCGTACGGGAAACAACACTCAACATCTTGGAGGGAGTCATTGACTACCATGCGCTGTTTGTTGGCACATGTCGACTCCACAGGTCGACTCAGGCGCTGCACTCGCCCCTGTAAGCGCAGCCTCTCAACGCACGCGCGACTGATGAAGTTCCTTGTCGAGCAAGTGCCATAATAGGCCCCGGCCTTGCGGCCACCAATGACCACCTCGCTGACGAACATTCACCCTTCGGGGCTTTGACTAAGGTCGTCCAAGAAGCTAGCGGGTCTCATCTAGACCACTCCTCCTCTAGCTCCTCTAAGGACTCAAACACATTCATCGAACAGAGGCTCGATGGGTCTCAAGGTGTTTGCGGGACGACGCTGGGGTCAGTAGCTTGGGCCATCTCTTGAGATGGTGAGGGTGTATCCACCACCGCGACCCTAGTAGGAACAGCTACTATTCCTACTGGCCCGACGTGTTTCCCTGAGCAGTGCCAGAGGTACTAGCTACATTGCTACGAACGGGATGGGAGGATCCCAACGCCTGCCCCATCGTAGGCGGGATCCTATCGGTCACCTTCTTGTTGCGGCACTTGAATTGGTTATGGCCATATTGACCACAACGACTGCAGGCCTGCCGTGTATACCGATCTCTCCACACGTCCTCTGTGAGACCCGCTTTCTCCCATGGAGGAGCATTAGGGTCAACTTGACTCCTAGACCGGGAGCCTCCACGACGTCTACCGGTCGCCTTACCTTTCTGAGCTACGGCAGCGCCTACTCCACCCCCTGAAGCTTCTACGCTGCCAGCCTCTGAACCTACTCCCTCCTGGAAGTCGTCGTCTAACTCGATGGTTGAACCATGGTTATCGACAAGCATAATGCGGCCCTTCGCCTTCCAGTTAGGAGGCAGTGTCTTTTTCCTACCGTTCGTTGTGGGATTGTGTCCATGCCCTATCTTCGCTTCAAGGTCTAGGGCCTTCTTGCTTAACGAGGGGAAGTTGTGAACATTGATGTTGGCCTCACCTGCCAACTGATTCCTGAGAGGCATAGGAAAGCATCTCAAGTAGGAGGTGAGTAGAACCCGGGGGTCATAGCGCACCCCACGGACACAGATCAGACGCTCTACAGCGTCCGTGGCCTCCCTTATTGACTTAAACTGCCTCGTGTGCAGTGTCAAGATCACATTAGTGGCCATGTGGGCCTCCTGAGGACCATGCCACCTTTCTTTCACCACCTTAAGGAAGTCATCCAATTGTTGGGTGACCGCCCAAGCGCGAAAGTCATGACCATATCCCTGTAGCTGAACCAAACCACTAAACCATCTTGCTGCACTACCCTCTAGGTAATATGCAGCCACAAGCACTTCCTCGTGCGGCAAGGTGAGTTTACACTTGATATAGATCGACACTGCCCTCAACCAAGTGTCAAGGTCTTCGCCTCTCTTATCCCCTGTGAAGGGTTTAGGAGCGGCGATGGTCGTCCTTGGTACCCACTGTGTTTGTCCCGGTCCCTGCACCACTCCGAGTTGTGGACCCTGTGACACAGGCTGCTGTGCTAGCTGCTGGGGTTTGTGTACCCTGCGGTTGTACAGGCTGCGAGACAGCAGGTTGCGTGGTAACCTCAACCTGTAACGAAGATTGGGTAAACACTGTCTGTACAGGAACCTACAAACTAGATCTTGCTGATAACCCTCCTGATAGCGGCATGCCCAAGGAAACGATCGCGACCGATGATGGGGCTAAATATTGGGATACCCCAGTCGCCGGTGGGACAAAAGGAGGAGGCTGTACAACAGGCCAGGCACCAGGCCCGGACATCAATAGTGCTGCCTGCGTTCGTCCAGCCAACAGGGCCAGACTTTGCTGAATGTCCTGAAGGATGGTTGTCTGATGTACGCATTTCAACTACATTTAGCAGGACGGACCGTATGGTTCTCGCATCATCAGTCACGTGCGTCAGCTCCATCTCCTCTAACTCACTAACGTCCGCTTGTCTCCGCTGCATCCTGGCTCTTCTTCTAATCATCCTTTCTTTCTCCGCTTGTATCTCTCCTAATGCCTTCTGTAGTTGTGCCTCCTGCAATGCTGCTTGTTGTATGGCAATCTCGTCGCAAGTCAACACTATTGGCTGGCTTGCCATTACGCCAGTGGACTGACTCAGGGTCTGCGCGACCGTTGACCCTACAGATCCTGAACTACTAGCCTGGGAACTCTGCTGCGCAGAATTGGCCATGGCTGCTGAAGCTGCGGCTTCACTTACAAATGCCCTGCTTGCCTCTTCAGCCCTGACTCTCCTCTGCCACTGCTGCCTCTCCCTACGCTGGCGGAACAGATATCTGTCACCCTCTGGACCTAATGCCAAATGGGCAACTGGGCGCCTTGCCGATCGCAAGATCCGGTCGTCCTCTCTACTGTCCTCCTCGTCGCTTACAACACTGTACACAATCTGCACTAATGCACTTTGGGTGCCTACCGCAGTGTAGTGCACAGACCAATTTAAAATAAATAAATAGTTAATTGGTGGCTATTTCGGAGTAGATACATTTAGGATCAACAGGTAGGTTCAAATTCCTACAAACGAGACTATTTTTAGCCTGACTAGTCCGCGAACAAAATGCACAATGAACAGTTACAGTTCTAATTATGATGTCTGTCAGATATCAAATGGTTGTACACCTAACTAATCAAAACATAAAAATAGAATCATTTGTATAGATGAGGACAATATGGAATTTAACTCAAACTTGTCACCTGAAATCTACCCCTCCCTTAGTTCCCCTGAATGTCTCTTGACGTCAGCATCCCTGAGCAATCCGGAGAGCGTTGCGTGTCTAAAAGGTGTGTGTTCGGCCCACCCCTGTGCCCCAAGTATCCGCTGAGCTGGCCAGCCCTGCACTGGATTATCCTCGCGTGCAGCGAGCCTTACAATCATTGGCTGATCCAGAGGCAATTTAACGACCGCCCCCAAGTGTCATCAATAATTATTTTACGTCGCAGCAGGACGACGATCACAGCCAATGATTTCCCCTTCTGGTGTTTATTTAAAGACGCCCGGTCTCGTCTCCCACTTAGGGCTGGCCTGCCCTTCAGTACCCATCCAACAACGCAACGAGTTGAACAAGGGACAAGCAGCAAAGCATGCGTGCTCTACTCCCGGTGGGTTGTTATGGTGACCGTGACCCAGTGCTTCGTCCAGGGCCCTTCAGAAAGCTCCGCCCATCTTCTCCCAGATGCTCCACGTGAACATTGCCGACTCTCAAGGTTGAGCGCACTCGACACCTCACAGAGAGGACTCTCAAGAAGGAACACACAACCTCACGGTAAGAAGTGTCGAAGAGGGTAGATAAGGTTAAGAGCAACGTACCTCAAATAGCTGCCCCCAACCACACAGATAATCTCACCAGATGACCTGATGCCGATTGTGATGACCAGTCGTTGCTTCGGCACAACTAGCATTGCACGTCGTTCCGCCTCAGCACCAATCGCACATCAGATAGTTCTCATCATACTTTCCAGACCCACATTACACCACTTAGCCTTCCTGGCGATTCCCCTCACCTCCAGGGTCGCCAGTCACTCGTCTTCGACCTCCTCACTACACACCACTTACGGCCCAACTCACCAAGCAGACCGCATGTATGTACCGCATTAGGCAGAAGACAAGCGCCAGATGAGCGCAATCGTATCACAGCTCCGATACCAAATTGCAAGGAAGATGAGCAATAGCGAACTTCAGCAATCAACAACATCATATACACAAGACCAGATAGACGTGACCTTGAACCAACAACAGAATTGCATCATGAGTTTCACCAAATAAGAACACACCAAGAGCTCATAATTGACAATGTTGGTAAAGTCTCATCATCATCATCAATGAAGAACCAATGTTGATATCCTATCTGACGCTCCGCGCCCAGACTACAGATGGCAGATCCTATCTAGCCTAGACTACAATGCCGAAGATGACGTCAACAACTTTCCCAAAGTACGAGCATACAGCGACCATTGTCGCACGCTTCCAGCATCAGGTATGTCACTGACAACCTCGTTCCCTAACACACAGATGCCACTTGCACCCCAGGACCACCCTGCGCCACACCCAGCTTACAGCAGCGCAGGTCGGTTATCGCTGCCTGCTCCTTCCTGCTCGCCCGTGAGCGCGCGAGTGCCAGTGAGCTTCAACGCAGCAGCGCTTGCGCAGCATGCAGCCAGCACCCGTATCACGAATGTGGAGGCAGGCCCTTTGCTATATCAAAGTGGCCTGCTTGCGTTCAGTCCCAGGAAGCCCCGGTAACCTAAGGCCCAACACGAGTGAGAACAGGCCTTGGGCCTGAGGTGGTTGCATATATCCAACTGCCTTAGCCTGTGTTTGGCCCAGTACCCGTATCCAGCCCAGGACCTGCTTTCCATACATTCACACGAGCGGGCCCAGGGCCTGGGTTCTCTCAACCAACTGGCGCTGCGCAACTGCCTGAATTTCCTTGAGTTGCGTGGTGACCAAAATAGGGCCCTCAGGCCCTCGTCGTGCCTGCATTCACTTGGGGCGGCCGACGTGATACTTGGCAGGGCCAAAAAGGGGCTCATAGGGGCATAAGCCTCGCATTAGGAAATAATTTTAATTAATTCTTTTTCTCGAATATCTTAATTCATATAATTCCCCTTTTTATTTTTCAATTTTTTTTTGAAATTCAAAAAATGCCTTGTGATCAATTCTTTTTTTTCTTTCTTAAAACTCTGCAATATTTTAGCATTACTTAAATCCTTTCTCGAAATTTTCACTTTTTTTTTTTTTTTTTTTTTTTTTTTTTAAGGCTAATTCTTTAAGCCCAACCAACTCAATTACCTGTCAAATCTGGATGGACGGCCTTTCAGTCCTTTTTTTTTGTCATTATAGTATTACGGGGAACCCCGTGGCAGCCACATCCGTGCTCAAGCCTCCAACGAGGGAACATGAGGGAGTTGCACCCACCAGCAGGTGCGATACCTGCTACAGCAGGTGGGCGATACCGGCCAAGGGTCAGTCGGTAGCATCAGAACCGACCTTCTTCAATGGGCCAGTCACTGTGCTTCCCCTCCGGTCCCCTCCCCCTATGAACATCAGCAATCTTTGCTCAATGCCACTTAAGGGGACCAACGACATATCTCTAGGTGGCGGGCGCCAAGCTTGCCCAGGAAGGTACATGAGGCCAATGGGGATTGAACCCAAGATCTCCTGAATGCTACTTGCGTGCCTTACCAACTGAGCTAAACCATACCCCACAATTAATTTAGAAGAAAATTAAACCCAAATCAAAATTTATTTTTCTTCAAAAATAATTATTTCCTTTTTCCCTTTTTTGATATTTTCAACAAATTTTTCTGGAAATTTTCGTTTTGCAAGTTTTCCTCCTTTGAATTCTTCTCGAATTTCTTCCCAAGTGCGAGGCACAAGGCCTCGGTATGCCCTACTGGGCCCTGTCATCTATAAGGTCGGCCGCCCTAAGTGAAGGCAGGCTCGACCTACGCCTATTTTGGACTACCACGCAATTGAGGAAAATTCAGGCAGTTGTGCCGCGCTAGTTGGTTGAAAGCGCCCATGCCCAGGCTGCCTTTCTCAAATGTAACTAAGGCAGGCCTTTGGCCAGATACGCAAAATGGGCCGAACACAAGCTACAGGCAGTTCCGCATGGGTAACCACCACAGACCCTGGGCCTGATTCATTCGGACTGGGGCTCGGCCTCATAGGGTCTACCGGAAGCTTATTGACCGAGGCCCAGTGCAGGCATGCCGCACGCAGCAGGCAGGTCACTTCCATTTAGGAAAGTGCCTGCCCCAACACTCCTCGCTGCGCTATATGTGGGCCAGCGCTCACGCGCTCACGGGCGAGCTTGAAAGAGTAGGCAGCCATAGCAGAGCTGCGCTGCTATATGCTAGAGGGGGCGCATGGTGGTCCTTGGGTGCACGTGGCATCTGTGAGTGGAGGATCGAGGTTGTGAGTGATATGAGCGAACGACATTGGCCGAGATCTGCTCGTACTTCGGGGAGTTGTCGACCTCACCAGCAGCATTGTAGATTAGGCTACATAGGATCTGCCATTTGTAGTCTGGGCGCAGAGCGCCAGATAGGATGTCGACATTGGTTTTTTGTTGATGATGATGAGAATATTCCAACATTGTCACTTAAAAGCTTTTGATGTGCTCTTATTTGGTGAAACTCGTGTTGCAATTCTGCTGTTGGTTCGAGGTCACAACTATCTGGTCTCGTGTGTATGATGCTGCTTGGTTTCTAAAGTTCGCTATCGCTCATTTTCCTTGCAATTTGGTATCGGAGTTGTGTTACGTTGCGCTCATCTGGTGCTTGTTTTCTGCCTATGCGGTACATGCATGGGGTCTGCTAGGCGAGCGGTCATAGGGAGTGTGTAGCAAGGAGGGTGAAGATCAGGAGGCGACCCACGTGGAGAGGGGATCGCTAGGAAGGCTACGTGGTGTATAGTGGGTGTTTACAATGTGATGAGAACCATCTGATGTGCGATTGATGCTGAGGTGGAACTGCGGTGTAATGCTGGTTGTGCCGAAGCAACGATTGGTCATCACAATCGGCATCGGGTCATCTGGTGAGAATATTTGTGGTTGGGGGCAGCTATTTTGAGGTACGTTGCACTTAACCTTATCTACCCTCTTCCACACTTCTTACCGTGAGGATGTGTACTCTGTCTTGAGAGTCCTCTCATGTGACGAGTCGAGTGGGCTCAACCTTGAGAGTCGTCATTGTTCATGTCGAGCATTTGGAAGGAGAGGGCGGTGCTATCTGAAGGGCCCTGGACGAAGCATTGGGTCACGGTCACCATGCCAACCCACCGGGGGTAGAGCACGCATGCTTTGCTGCTTTGATAGATGGGTTATGAGGGGCAAGCCAACCCTACAAGGGACACGAGTATCGGGCGTCTATAAATAAACACCGACAGGGGTACCTTCCATTGGCTGCGATCGTCGTCATGTCTGCGACATTAAATAATTTTTGAGGACTTTGGGGGCCATCCTTAAACGCCTCCTGATCAGCCAATCAGACGGAGTAAGGCTCGCTGCACGCGAGGGTAAAAACCATACTTGCGGCCCATCCATGCGTTGCGTGATGCGGTGCGGTGTGCAGTGCGCTGTGCGCCCGTCGGGGATGTGCGCATTGATGCGCAATGCGCGCGCATCGATGTGCAGTGCGCAATGCGGGATGCGTTGCGCGACACTTGGATGCGCAGTGCGCCAGTGCCCCGGGGTGTGCGCGTGTCGCGCGCATGGTGCGCTCGGGCATGGAGGGAAGGGGAGGACAACGACGAAGGGAGGAGGAGATGGGTGACGAGGGAGGGAATGGAGGAGCGAGGAGGAGATCAATAGCGACAGAGAAGGGGGAAGGGAGAAGGGCGAAGGGAGGACGACACCGATGATGGAGGAAAGGGGAGGACAACGACGAAGGGAGGAGGAGA